CACCGACCACTCATCCAGCCCACACTTCCTGAGCTTCCCTAGGAGGATGTTATGAGAAACTGTGTTGAAAGCCTTGCTGAAGTCGAGGTAGACAACATCCACGGCTCTCCCCTCATCTACCCAGCCAGTCATGCCATTGTAGAAAGCTATCAGATTGGTCAGGCATGATTTCCCCTTGGTGAATCCATGCTGACTACTGCTGATAACCTTCTTTTCCTCCACTTGCTTGATGATGACCTCCAGGATAAGCTGCTCCATCGTCTTTCCCGGGATGGAGGTGAGGCTGACCGGCCTGTAGTTCCCTGGGTCCTCCTTCTTGCCCTTTTTGAAGATCGGAGTGACATTGGCCTTTCTCCAGTCCTCGGGCACCTCTCTTGTCCTCCAGGACCTCTCAGAGATGATGGAGAGTGGCTCAGCAATGACATCCGCCAGCTCCCTCAGCACTCGTGGGTGCATTCCATCTGGGCCCATGGATTTGTGGGCATTCAGATCGCTTAAGCGATCCCTCACGCAGTCTTCCTTGACCTTTCCTAGGTATTAACTCAGTGCTGACCAAAGTCCAAGACAAAATATAACGCAGATACTGAATGTTCATCATTTAGAACAAGTACTTGCCTGTAACACAAATAATACAAAAAAAGGGTGTGCTCTTCCTTATGCATACTTACATATCATGTCTATACATAAGAGGTCTTAAAAATTAATCACAAATGGCTCAAATTGTGGTATTTCAGAAAAACACAGTTTGCATTGTTTTTCAACCAGCATGGATGTTCAACGTTTGTTTTTCCAAAGGCTATTAAATCTCAGTATTTCTAATACACAGTTTTACAGGAATTGCCACTTCTTGTGATTTTATTTTAAAATTACTTACAATAACATGTATTCTTCCAGATTTCGATTATGAAATTTTCCCTCCCTTGCTTCCAAGGCATGTCACACTGTTTCTTTCACCTGATTTAATGTATGTACTGTATCATGTATGATACAGTAAAACTGGTTTAAACGCTATGTAGAAATACAAATGTCGAAGCCTGGGAGACGGACACTACTCAGTTAAATGCAGTAAGGATCTCACCAGCGCCTACAAGATCAGTTATGTCTTCTTGCTTCACCTCCCTTAAAATTCATTCCATTTCAGATTTCACCTTCATGAAAGAAACGTATCTCTGGACTGGCTGTCAGACAAACAACCTTTCAGAGGTTAACTCTAACCTGATTTACACCATTGATACACTACGGATGTGTGCCAGTACAGAGGCAGAGAGAAATTTGGCCACAGATTCAGGTTTAATCCGTGGAGGTTTGGATTTTTTTTTCCCCTACATTTTCCCCTACTGTATATTCAGTCACTTTGAAATAACAAAATCAGCGTTTTGAGTTTGTTGTTTCTCTGGCTCTGACCCAAAGAACTCAGCTGGATTATTCCCTACCCTTCCAGTAACTTTGGTCAGGATCACAGTACTGTACAGTGTGCACAGTACAATACTTTAAATAGCATTGATTTCCTTTGTGAGTGGAACGATTTTCAAACAGAAGAGTTAAACACAGTATAGGCACTGTATTAGGAATACAGTAAATTAACTGGGTCATGCCTTGTGAACTCTAGGTGGAGAGTAAATTGGAGACCAGGTTCCCTACCCACGAGCTGGGGAGAAAAGGCAGGATTAGGGGTGTGTGTGAATAGAAGCCAGGACTCCAGGGATGCAGCGCAGAAACACTTGTGGAGACATGTCAACACTGCATGGGGCATCTGTACCTACTAGGGGAAAAGCTGCTGGGAAGTCTGTTTCAAAGGCTTATCGACGGAAAACTATCACGTGTCCCATCACTCGGCGTAGTTTTGATTAAGCGAAGGGGTCCCAGAAAATCAGCTAACATTGCCAGGTTGTTCAGCTGACTTCAAAACCATAATTGCTGTTCTGACTGAACAGCTGCACTGGGACATGCCCCAGAGCTGGGGGATGAGAGGCTGGAGAGCAGCCCCATGGGAAGAGGTCTGGGGGGCTGATGGCAAGCTGAGTGCGAGTCAGCGGCGTGCCCTGGCAGCCCAAAGCTCCAGCCGTGCCCTGGGCTGCACCAAGCACAGCAGAACCGGTTCGTCGTGGGGGGAGAACTGTCCCACTCTGCATTGCAGTGGTGTGGCCCCACGTCATGTACTGCCTGCAGTTTTTGGCACCCCAATATAAGGACCTCAAACTATTACAGTGTGTGTCCAGAAGAGGGTGACCAAGATGGTGAAAGGCCTCAAGGGCAAGACTTGGAGGAGCAGCAGGGGTCACCTAACTTGTTCAGCGTGGAGAAGAGAAGGCTGAGGGGTGACCTCATGGCAGCCTACAGTGTCCTCGGGGGGCAGAAGAGCAGGCGGACGTGCTGATTTCCTCTCTCTGGTGACCAGCCATAGGACGCGAGGAGATGGAAGCAACCTCCATCAGGGGAAGTTCAGATTGGGCATTAGGAAAAGGTTCTTCATGGTGAGGGTGGTGGGTCACTGGAACAGGCTGCGCAGGGAAGTGGTCACGGCCCCAAGGCTGTCAGAGCTCAAGGACCGTCTCCACAACCCTCATACGGTTTAGTTCTAGGTAGTCCTGTGAGGAGTAGGGAGTTGGACTCAATGGGCCTCATGGGTCCTTTACGACTCGAGATATTCTATGATTCTGTGATCCAGAGGACCAAACTTTGGCTGAAGAAGGCTGGAATGCAGTACTCTGTGGCTCCTCTTCCCATACAGTTGATGTCTGCTTCCAGTCACTGTAAGGAGGATATTTAGGAGCTAGGAATTCTGCACTGGCAGTTAGGCGTCCAGAGAAATTTCTATCTAGGACGCTCTGGCCTAGTTGTTCCAGGGCTACAACAGGAAGGCAGAGGCAGGTGGAAAGAAATCAGCTAGGAATAATTAGACTACCATCATCAAAGTCCTTCAGTTTATTACCAACTTCTTAAAAATTGGACGATGCCAAAAGCTGACACAGTCACATTAAATGGGGATCTTGAAAACAATCACACATGGCTCACATTTTGCTATTATTAACAGCAAACACATCTATCTTCTATGGTGATACACCTCAATATCTAAACAAATTTCTCCCTGTGAATACGTATTAGTGACATGATCAAGTAGGACACTTGGCACAGTGCCACCCACTGCACTCAGTGTAAACATTTAGATGGTCAAAACCGGTTTTATTTACAAAGCTTTTCATGCACGACAACTCGCTTTTTCTTCTAAAATGATATAAAATACGTTTAAGAAAAGGATGACATCACATATTTCTACAAATGACAATGAAAAAAGAAGCAGCATATTAAAAAGCTTAACTAAAAACAGCACATGGTTGAACCGAAGAAAGTTATAAAACAACTGTTGTCACTGATTACAGGGATAAAAAGCAGTTCAAATCTCCAAGCCAAGAACTCACGCTCGCAGAAGACCCAATCATTATTCCTTGATATTTTGAAGTAGCCTTAATAAATGAGACTCAATAACCTGTTGAACTAAAGCAGAGAAAAAATCAGGTTAATCAGTGTTCAATGTTTTTTCACATCTTTAGGGCTGTACTATTTTTTCCTGGCAGATGCTGGCTTGTCCTGCACAATCATTTAATAAAAAACAGACAGGAATAAATTCACTCTGGGAAGAGAGTTTGCATCCTTTCAAAAAACAAAAGCCTTACACAATGCAAAACCAATACACCCAGTAAGGCAGATGATGGTTTTTGGAGGTGATGAGCCTTTCTCTGGTTTGAAGAGGCAGATAGCATACGGAAGGAAATTTTTAAGCCTATAAATGGAAAGTGGCCAAAAACGTTTATTAGCAGCTACTTCTGTGGAATGTTTTGAGACTGAACTCTTGGAAGCAGTCCTACATCTAGGCATCGGTGCAGTTACTGTTCCCTCTCCGTACGCACAGGGCTCTGCTTGGAGAACCTACACAGCTTTCAAAATGAAGGTGGCATGAGGGAAAGCCACCCAAGGTTCCCTTCTTTGCATCTGTTTTCCAGAACCAAGTAAGGGAGTCTAATTTGCTGATCCTGGCACTGTTACTGTCTGCCTCCAAGATAAACTAGAGCTAGAGCTAGTCGGACAGCGAGAAGGTTCTGCAGACTACATCAGATCACACCAATCGACTGCGGTGGGGTGAGGGGTTCAGGAGGGCTGCAGGCCTTTTACCATTATCGCCTTTGTACAGGGTGGGGGAGCAGCTCGGCTCCCCTTGCCTAGATCATGGCTGCATCAGCCCTGCACACCGTTATTTGTGCCCACCGATGCAGATCCAGGTCGGTGACATTTTCCTCCTAGGTACCTTCTGAGACAGGGATGGAAGCTCCTACCCATTTTGGGCTGATATATTCAGGTGGATTAAGACTTTTAGGACAGGGATCTTCTTACAGCTGCAGAACCTCTACTAGGCCATTACAGCAGCTACATAAACAAGGAGCAGTAAAAATCAAAATCAAAGAATTTACATTTGCAATACTCACCACTCCGATAGCCCAAGGCGACTGCCAAATCCATGGAATTAAAGCCAGCATCTGTTTCGATAGTTGGATCAGCACCACTTTCTACATAAAACAGGAAAAGAAACTCAGATTTCTGACAAGATCTGCAGGTGCATTATTACTGATAATTCAGTTTGGACAGTCTGCTTACCAAGGAGAATTTTTACACATTTCACATGGTTTCCATGTACTGCATACAGTAGAGGTGTGCCTCCATTCTGCAAAAGCAGGGGAAAGCCTTAGAAGCTTAATGATTGAGCAGCCTGCAACTGTAACTCCGTAACACACCAGTACACTTCTACGCATCAGTCAGGTACTTCACGGGTTTTCTAAAGCTGAGGTTCTTTTTTGGTTATTCACAATTCGATCTTTTTTTGTCTACTATTTAGACTGTAAGCTTACCCTTCTACAAGGACTCAGCATTAGTCTCCTTCTCTTTTTTACGAATAATTGAGAACTAGTAGGGCAAACTTCTCTGATCATATGGAAGTTTTGAAACTCTCAGATATTTCAGGAGAAGTAGAACAATTTTCAGACCCGAGCCAGTGCCGTGCCCCGTTTCAAATTTCTGACCAAAGCACCTTCTGACATAAATTCAAGCTAGAGTCTTACCCAGTCGTATTCATTGACATCAACTCCACAGTCAAGCAGCATTTTGACAATATCTGTGTATCCTTTACTGCAAGCCAGCGAGAGGGCACTTTCTCGCCCTTTCCCCAAAATCTGAGGATCTGCACCCTGAAGTGATAATTAGATATAAAAAAAATCAAATTAACCATGTTTTTCTTTAATGTGACTTTCTACACAGATCTTAACTTTAAACTTCGAAGTGTATAGCAGCATTGACAAACATAGGCAGGAAAACAGAATTGAAAAGTGAATAAATTTAAAATGAAGTGTTTCTTTCCTTACATTCTGGAGGAGAAATTCCACTACTGCTATCTGCCCATGAGCTGCAGCCCACATCAGAGGGGTAAATCCTTCTTCATCCTTATGATTGATTACATTTTCTGTTTAAAGAAAAATATGCAACTTAGTAATCCCTTTCACTAACGCACTGTATGAGCTGGTGAAATGCGCTGATGTATTCATCATGAATGGACCGAGCTACCAGTGTGCCCTAAAAGTCATTTGCAGCTTAACTTTAAAAACAAAACTCCATCCCAATGGTGGTGCAAATATCTTTGTCCAAGAAAGAAAAAAAAAAATCCAAGTGACTAAAGTAAAATTTGAGATTTTTTTTTTAAGCTCTATAAATCATGCTCCGTTTTTACTTAGAAATGTTACGAGTTGTCTGTAACCTAAACCCCTTTGGAAAGAAGAGAAGGGCTGCTTGAAAAATAAAGAAGTACATTCTGTATTATACTGTAGAAAGTCGATTTTTTTCAATAGAGTGAGCCACATAATCTTGCAAAGAATTAGCTTGTAACGTGATATATAAAGATAGTATAACTCCATTCCCCCCAGAGCTCATGTAATCAATAGGGTGTTTTGTGGAAATAATTAAGGTCTACTTCTAGTGCAGCTGGAAGAAGGAAAAAGAATTTTTTTTAACAATTGGCTGACTGAAATAGTTAAGTTGGATTTTTTTTTTTTAATATCTAGGTACTTTAAAAAATGCCATGCTTATCATAGCACCATAATATGCATTTTTAACTGTTACTGACACTCCAGGATTCATTTGCTTTCCATATACATGGCTCATTACAGAGTATAGAGACTCAGCGACTCATTACCTGCTTTCCAGTAAACATTTCAACAAAGATGCACTGAAAGCATGGGCAATTCCTAACAGTACAATAAGAATATACTATTAACAGTACTCAATTCAATGTGTTATGTAAAGTTGAAATTTTGTGTCTGTGTTACGGACACACAAATGTCACACTGAACACTACTACACAACTTAGAATGAGTAGCACTATTATATTGCAGATGTGATCCATGTCTTAAATTACCAACATATAAGCTCTCTATGTTGATTGATAAAATAGAATTAGAAAGTGTGTTTTAAATTACAAAGATAGTAAAAAAAAAAAATTTACTCTTCTGATTGAACTAACAGATTCTCCCTTCTCATTTCCATGGATTACCTATATAGCTGGGGAGCAGGGGGAGGAAAGTATTTCCCTAAAACTCCTACTAACACTAATGTTCAATTTAAAACCTACATCATAGCAATGAGTGAATAGAAGACTGACGTGAAACACTAGTCCACTTCCGCAAAGAACAGATACCTCAAATACCCTTCAATATGCACCAGAACTGAGGATTTTTTAAAATACAGCTTTGGGGAAAAAGTCAAACACAACAGGGTATAAATGCCTCAAAGAAAAAAGGAAGGTGTTTAACCTCCCTCTGTCTCACCTTGTTCAATACGCGTGGCCAGATATAACATTTCTCCCTGAGCAGCCAGCTGATGAACGGATAAAGCTGCAAAAAGGGAAGCAAAAGCATGTGTTACACCCACTGATTTTCATTCTGCTCTATTCAGAGCTGGGCATAACATGTCCAGTGGTCTGAGCAGTACAGAACTTGCATCTGAGAGTGTAGATAGGTTTCACCTTACACTCTGAACTGGAATCACTATTTTAAAAACAGAAAATATTCCAAAGAGTTTCATAGGTTTAGGTAAATTTTTTAACCAATGTATGAATCATCCTAGAAAGCAAAGATACTTCCTATACTGACTCTTTACAAGGCAACATGCTGTCTTCTCTGAAAATAAGCATCTTTTGATAAATTAAGGCTTTGTAGTTTAAAAATGAAATCTAAGAGGTCACATGCCATCATGAGACCTGTCATGCTGCTCAGTAAAGCCCGTGGCATGGAATAGATCAGACATCACAAAAGTATACACAGCTGACATCTACAGGGGAAGAAAAAGATTGTGGGTTTTTTATTTATTTTATTTTTAATAAAAAGTACCATGCATTAAAAGCAGAATAATTCTTAAGAGGTTATGAAGAAAAAAATCTCTGACCCCACAGTAAAGTCTGCACAGGTGGATGGTTTTGATAATTACAACTTGGACCACGTCTGAAAAGTGCTCAGGAGGGAGTATGTTACCCACATTACATAACAGCAAAATCAGCTAATGATTACATAATACGTAAATGGTCACTGTCCTCTTCCTATTCACTACATTAAAGTTTGATTTTTCCCAGCATATTTTGTTCAGAGGCCTATGCCGCAGCTCCAAATTAATTTTTCCCATGCAAGCAGCCTTTTTTTTAAACATTGGACTTATAATTTATGGAAGAAATAATTTAAATTACAGATAATTTGTAAAGAAAATGCTTGACAATTAAGAACAACAAAGCCTCATAAATAATACTGCCTTCTTGACTTTCAAGATCTGTGACAATCATGACACTTGCAGTACTCTGTAGCACTTACCAATCATCTCATTTTAGAAATTATACAAGAGGCACAAGTTTTGAAAATGAGTACATGAAGCACACTAAGGATCAGAAAAAAATCTTTACCTATACTTTTTAAATCAAGAATTGGATCCTTTCTGGAAAATACGCTTCAGTCATGAATTCAATACAGCAGATGGATTACTACTTTATGTTTGGAACCATGTGAAATTAGACAAGACTATCTCAATGTTTTCTTCTTATGTTAAGGTTCATTACAATACCAAAGAAAAAATTTGAAAAATCTGTCAACCATCTAACATACAGTTCACAAATACTTAGTAAGGCAGAAGTATACTTACAGTTTACAAGCAGAGGTGTTGTAGAGACTTCGTTTCCCCTGTGTTTGTTAGTTAGGGTAGTTGACTGTTTTATTGGTGAGAAATGCTTAGTAGTTGATGGAGTATAAACATGTCTTACTTGGATACCAGGGGAAGGAGAAGTATGGATGTTGCATTCAGCTACATTGAACAGAGAAAACAGACAGGATTTTAGTACTAGTAAGAGCATTAAAAGCAAGCGACAGATTCTACGTCTAGAAGCACCAGTATCACAAGATCTTTAAAACCCATGTTAAGTAAGCTTTGTGATGTGCTTTTTTCCACTGTGTACTGTCAAAGTTGAATAAAGGGCGGTATTAATTTCTGGCA